GAAGATCTTGGGAAATAAGTAGTTGAATCTCCAGGCGAGAGAATTCACCCAAAGCTCGGAGTTGATATAAATCCTCCTGGTAGCTTAATAATATAATAAACTCGTGATGAGAAACCATCATCAGTTGTGTCCAACTAAATCAACTCCATTCCTAGGGGAGAATGTTGAGTAATCTACTTACAGTAAGTGTGATGGAAAAATTTAATGAAAGAGAAGGATGATGGTTGGGACGTTGAAAGACAAAAGCTTAATGGTTTTGACGTATTATATGTGTTCGTTTTGAATATTTTGTAGGTTCTATTGTACCATAAGTTGTATTGCCAAGTATGTGTTTAATATTTATTAATACATCTTCTATATTTTAAACTAAAAAGTATCAGAATTTGAGACTATGGATAGAGAAATATGTCTAGCAGATAGTGCTACGACACATACAATACTTAAAGATAAAAAGTATTTCTCCTGTCTCAAAATGAAAGTCTCCGCCGGAAGCGTGAGTACTATAACTGGTATTGCAAAGATTATACTAGGCTCTGGAAGAACGAGTTTTTCATTTCCAAGGGGTACAGAGTTTGTAGTGCAAGATGCATTATACTCCCCCGATTCTCAACGGAACTTATTAAGTTTCCGAGATATCTGCAGAAATGGATATCATATTGAGACTATTAATAAGAATGGCTCTGAATATCTTTGCATTACAACGGAGAGTAAACATCAGTTGGAAGAGTTACCAATGATGTCCTCCGGATTATATTGCACAAAGATAACCATAGCTGAATCACATGTTGCGGTAAATCAAAAGTTTACCAGCACTTTTAGAGTATGGCATGAAAGGTTAGGCCATCCTGGCTCAGTCATGATGAGAAGGATTGTGCAAAATTCAAGTGGCCACCCTTTGAAAAACCAGAAGATTTATCAATCGGGAGAGTTTTCATGTACGGCATGTTCTCAAGAAAAACTCATATGTAGGCCCTCGCCAGACAAAGTTGGGAATGAATCCCCTGTATTCTTAGAGAGAATACAGGGTGATATATGTGGGCCGATTAACCCACCGTGCGGGCCATTTAGATATTTCATGGTATTGATTGACGCATCAAGTAGATGGTCACATGTGTGTCTTTTGACCACAAGAAATATGGCTTTCGCAAGATTCATTGCCCAAATAATCAGGTTGAGAGCGCATTTCCCTGATTATGCCATAAAGAAAGTCAGGCTTGATAACGCTGGTGAATTCACTTCAGCAGCCTTTAATGACTATTGTATGTATTTGGGAATCGATGTTGAGCATCCGGTTCCGCATGTTCATACACAAAATGGCATGACTGAGTCATTGATTAAGCGGTCTTGCAATTAATTGCAAGACCCGTAATCTTGAGAACAAAGCTTCCAATCACTGTATGGGGACATGTTATATTGCATGCTGGGGCATTGGTCCAAGTAAGACCAAGTGTGTATAATGAATATTCCCCCATACAGTTAGCATTTGGCCAGAAGCCAGATGTATCCCATCTTCGTGTGTTTGGGTGTGCGGTCTATGTCCCTATAGTGCCACCTCAAAGAACAAAAATGGGACCACAAAGAAGATTGAGAATATATATCGGGTATTCGTCACCAAGTATAATTAGGTATCTTGAGCCGGTAACAGGTGATATGTTCACGGCACGGTTTGCAGATTGCCACTTTGATGAAAGTGAATTCCCTGCGTTAGGGGGAGGATTGAGAGAATCACCAAATGATACCACATGGTGTACAAAAACTTTGGCTTATCTTGATCCTCCTACAAACCAACGCGAGGTGGAAGTTCAGAAAATTATACATATACAAAGATTGGCAAACCAGTTACCTGATGCATTCACTGATACAAGAAGGGTGACAAAGTCCTATATCCCCGCTGTTAATGCTCCATCAAAGATAAATGTTCCTCAATAACATATTGATGTAAATAGAGCAAATGAACCGGTTCAACTAAAGCGCGGGAGGCCAGTAGGATCAAAAGATAAAAATCTCTGAAAAAGAAAGAAATTGGAAGCAAAGGTTCTGGAAGAACCAAATAAAGCCAAATGTCCTGAAGATATTTGTGAAAAGGTTCCTGAAGAACCAAATGAAGGTATATGTCTGAAAGACATATCTGAACCAGTTCCTAAAGAACTAGGTAAAGGATTTGTCCTGAAGACGAATCTGAAGCAAAAAAATATGAGATTTCCATCTCCTTCGCCCAAAGTGAAAAATTATGGGCTAGAAGTAAAATAGAAGATAATGATGGAATGTTCTCTTTTTCTGTTTCCAAAGAGATCGATCATCAAAATGATTATCAAGATCCAAGTTCCGTGTCAGAGTGCCAAAGAAGACCTGACTGGGATAAATGGCAAGTTGCCATGAGGGATGAGATATTCTCCTTTAATAAGCGGAACGTATTCGGACCGATAATTATTACACCTGAAGATGTAATACCGGTCAGGTACAAATGGGTCGTTGTAAGAAAGAGAAATGAGAAAAATGAGGTCACAAGGTATAAATCTCGCCTTGTGGAACAAGAATTTTCTCAAAGACCGGGAATAGATTATGAAGAGACATATTCCCCAGTCATGGATGCAATCACATTCAGGTACTTAATGAGCCTAGCAGCCTCTAATAATTTAGATATGTACTTGATGGATGTTGTGACTGTATAACTATATGGTTCACTTGATAGTGACATATACATGAAAATTTCTGAAGGATTTGAGATCCCTCAAGGATCAAAGATGCCTAAAGCATCTAAAGAGCTATGTTCGGTCAAACTACAGCGATCACTTTACGGATTAAAGCAATCTGGACGCATGTGGTATAATCGCTTAAGTGAGTATTTGTTGAGTAAAGATTACGTCAATAATGCGATATGCCCTTGTGTGTTTATTAAGAAATCTGCATCAGGATTTGTGATCATTGCTGTATATGTTGATGACCTGAACATGATTGGAACTCAAAAGGATATTGATGATGCTAGAGCTCATATAAAAGATGAGTTCGAAATGAAAGATCTTGGAAAGATAAAATTTTGTCTAGGGCTCCAGATAGAGCATTTCCAAGATGGAATATTTGTGCATCAATCAAATTACACCAGAAGGGTGTTGAAACGCTTCAGTATGGATAAAGCAACTCTTTTGAGTACTCCAATGGTCAATAGACCACTTGACGTTGACAAGGATCCATTTCGACCTTGTGAAGGTAACAAAGAAATATTAGGTCATAAAGTGCCTTATATGAGCGTTATCAGTGTCCTTATGTATCTTGTAAATTGTACTAGACCAGATATAGCCTTTGCTACTAACTTACTTGCAAGGTATAGTTCATCACCGACGCGCCGGCATTGGAATGGAATAAAGCATATATTCTGTTATCTTCAAGGTTCGATTGAATTTGGATTATATTATTATAGAAACCCCGAGGTTGGTCTAGTTGGTTTTGCAGATGCAGGATATCTATCTGATCCGCATAAAGCTCGATCGCAAACTGGATATGTTTTCACATTTGGTGGAACTGCGATCTCTTGGCGATCTCAAAAGCAAACTTTGGTCACGACTTCTTCAAACTATGCGGAGATTATTGCGCTTCATGAAGCATGCAGATAATGTGTATGGCTTCGATCGATAGCTCATCACATACAAGAAGCAAGCGGAATAATCATAGACAAAGAACCAACAAAAATGTTTGAAGACAATGTTGCTTGTGTCGCTCAAATTAAGAAAGGCTATATCAAGAGCGATAGAACGAAGCATATCCCTCCAAGATTTTTCTCATATACTCAAGAGTTCAAGAAGAAAAGGGAAGTGGATATTCAGTATGTTCGTTCAAGTGACAACGCAGCTGATCTCTTCACAAAAGCGCTTTCTACTACAACATTCAAGAAACATGTTCATAGTATTGGAATGCGGCATCTACGAGATTTGTGAAGAGAGGATGAGATCCATCTTTTCCAGGGGGAGTTTGCTTTTGCTGTACTCTTTTTCCCTTTATCATGGTTTTTATCCCATTGGGTTTTTTCATGGAAAGGTTTTTAACGAGGCAGCACGCAACTTCACAGCGATGGATACTCAGACGTCATTTCGAGGGGGAGCGCTACTGCACTCTTTTTCCTGTTATGGTTTTATCCTACACGGGTTTTTCCATGATAAGGTTTTTAACGAGGCAGTATGTAATACATCATTAGTGATGGATAATCAAAGGTGAGTGTTAAATAGATAGTGATTATTCATTTACTTTTGTCTTTATACATTAACATATTAAAGGATAATATTTATTTATAAGTTTTAGATAATGCTTATCCCATATGTTTTGGATAATGCTTATCTATATGTTTTGTCTTTATAGATTAGCTTACTTTACTATGAAGTAAGATTTTTTCTATAAATAGGTAATTTCATTCTTTGTAAAATCATAAGTTTTATAAAAGAAAGAAATAAAGTTTTTATGTTCGTTTTTCTCTCTTTCTCTCTTAAATTCATACTTCTTAAACTCTTCTTTACTTTTCATATATATAAAGCATTAGTTTACAACAATTTTTAAATTATAAAAGCATTGAGATGCTTTCCCGTATTCATTTGGGGGTGTGTACACCAGACTTCTCTCAAACAAATAAGAGTATTTCAGATCGTGGCTCCTTATAATCGACATTGTTCTGTTAAATTAATCATAAATTGGCATTGAAGTACGGTCAAATCCTGGTGGGAGTAGAAGCCCAATTCATTCATCACCACTTGGACAGAGTCATTATCTACTTCGTCTTTTCAGGTGAAATCCTGGTGGGCCTTATGGGTTTCATTTATATGCTTTTTAATGATTAATAATGGGCCAAATGATCCATTAGGTCATTTTTAGGTACCCTATAAATACAAGTTATCTTCTTCTGTCGCCGAAAAGCAACCCTAGTCGAACATAACTCCTCGTTCTTCCCTTTATCAGGTTAGCTTTATTTTTCTGGCCGATCTATTGATTTTTACTCTTCGTCTTGTTTTTCTCGGATGTTTCGTTCGTTATTGATTGAGTATTATTATTGTATGGATTGTCACAGAGATGGCGAAATCGAAGAATCACACGGCGCATAACCAGTCGGCGAAAGCGCACAAGAACGGAATCAAAAAGCCCAGGAGACACCGTCACACTTCCACCAAAGGAGTAAGCAGTGACTCTCTGGTTTTACAGTTCAATCCAGATTCCAAAACATTTGTTTCTATTAGAGTTTGATTTTCCTGTTTTGTGAAATGTTTCAGATGGATCCTAAGTTCCTGAGGAATCAGAGGTATGCAAGGAAGCACAACGTCAAGAGCGGCGAGAATGCTAGCGTCGATGAATAAATCTTTTGATCCGTCTGAGAGTGAGAGACATTTTAAGGTTTTTATGTAATTCAAGACTTTTTGTTTTGACCAAGGAACCAATTTTATTGCAAATCAGATTATGTTATTTTGCGAGTTCGTTGAATTGATGCAATTAGACCTGAAAATCTGGGAGATTCTTAAACGATATAGTTTTATTGAAAAATTGCCTCTAGACTTCTATTTTCATGAAAATTCTGGGAATTAATCTCTATAGCTTTCGCGAATCACATGGTCTTCAAAGGGCTATTCATTTATTGCTTGTAGATTTTATGATTTTTATAAATTTATCTTTGTGCTCTTTTCCCATTGGTATTAACATGGCCATATTTCGGATTACTCTATTGTCCATGAATTGAATGCTATTTTCTTCAGTGTTAATATAAGTTACTTTAAGGAGAATACCCTATTTGCCAAATTGATCAGATAAGTTTAGTCGGAAACAAACCTTTTTTTCGGTTAAAACTTCGATTTTGTAATTGAGAAAAACAACCTAGCATTGTTTGTAGGGATTACTGCAAAAAAAACCTTTATACTTTTATTGTTTATAGGGATTACTGCAAAAAAAACCTTTATACTTTTTTTTTCAAGAAAAATTCTAAATGCATGTCAATTCTATGAACAACAAAATTTAGGACTCACCCGCAATACAGGACTGTCTATATTGTAGATGTTGACAAATAACGTTTTCTTTAAGTTTTTGACAGAAACTAAAACTACGTTTTAATTAAAAAAATCAAACCAATTAATACACAACAAAATTTGAGATTCAAACCACCGAACTCTAGCTAAACTGAAGTCATTCTTAACCACTTGTGCCAATCGAATTAGTTAGTATACTCTTAAACAGAAACACCTATATTAAAGAAAACAGGTTGCTGTTTCTCTTCTCTTTCTCTATGTTGCTGCTCCTTCATCTTCGATTAATGGAGGCCAGAGAAGCGAAGAATCCACTTTGAGTTTGAGTAGATAACCAAAATTTTATCCGCTATGAAACTTATCTCAGTGGACAATAACAACTCTACGAGTCGATTTGATTTTGTTGATCTTAGCTAAATATATGCCTGATTGACGGAGAGGCTCAATACAATCATGAGCGAAAATGTTGGAGTCAAGATTGAATTCACGGAAATTGAACTAGTTGCAGTATTTGTCGTCAGATCCACATGTCAAGAAGTTTCTTTTCTCGTCGGAGAATGTAAGCCCGAGTTTCTGTTTGATTTTGTATACAAAGAATTCAGAAATTGAATGAAGGTGAAAGAGGCGAAGAACACGTAGTGATTTGGTAAATAATTCAGTACATAAGTTTTATAATATAAACTAGGCTTTTAATTCGTTGTATTAATAATTTGCTTTAATTTTTTTGTTAATATCTTTTAAATTATCAAAACAATAATATATTTGTAGAAATTTCCTTTTATATAAAAAAATATAATATGTAGTATTTCCTATTTTTATTTATAAAATTATAAATTTTATTGAGTAAAATCATAGTAATGACACTAAGGAAGGCTTATTGGATCATGGTATTGAATGATTTGAATTTATTTTGAATGATTTGATATTTGGTTGGATTTTGATAGAATTTGTAGATATTGTGTGATTTCTAATATATCTTTTTCAAGTAATTAAAAAATCTAAATTAAGATTTGGAAAGACTTTTAAGATACATTTCAGTTAATTTTGTATGACAAAACAAAAACCAGCACAATTTTTATTAAAAATAAAGAAATATCCAAATCCAGAACTGTGCCGAAAAAGATCAACATAACTCTGGTACCTAACCTTCAATATCTTCATTCTATTCTTGTAGTGGCTATAATTTTTTTAAGAACCAAGCTTCTGGTTTAAAACCGATAATGTTTTTTTCTCTATTGTTAGTTTGTTAAAGGAACCATTTGCGTCACGCCAACCTCGTTTAATAGCATCCACCAATAACCGGAGCAACATATTGTGTTATGGTTCAGACCAATGACTATATTGGCCTTTCTTAGATTCATGTCCATCTCCCATTGTAAATGAACTACACAAACATAAAAAAAGCAAACAAATGAGAAACTCAAATTGAACGAACAAGATGATAAAGAGGACACAAGGTAATATACCAAGTCGTCGAGTTTCATGTACAAAGATGATCTGAATTGCTGCATATATATTAACGTATCTAAACTTACTCCAACAAAAAAATGAGATAAGTTTGAATTTTTTTTAAAACAAATCTCTTGAAATTATCATCTTTGTAGGTGAGATTTGTTGATTTAGTTATATAACTAAAAACTTGTAATCAAATATTCAGAAATCTTTTCAGATTTAATTTGTTTTAATATTGAAAATGATCCAATAACCCCAGATTTTTTTATGATTTTGGTGACTTATCAATTGAATAACCATGGATTGTGAATTATTTTGAATTAGTTGAGAAGAATTTTATATCCAATAACCTGAGACTTTAAATACATTTAAGAATTTTAGATCCAATAACAGTAGATTTTAGAAAAAAACTAATGTCTTCCAAAAATCAAGATCCAATAAGCAATATAAACGAATTATTCAACTTCGATGTGCATATGTTTGATTTAGAAAATGATTTTCTTACTAAATTTTGTGTGTTTTGTTTTGTATCTATAGGATTTCTATGGTTCTTTTTTTTTTTAAGGTTTATATGTTTAAATATTTAGTTTTTTTACTAAATGTTTCATTAATGTTGTATATATATACATATATAATATATGATATATGCTGATTCAGATTTACTTTTGTTAGTAAGCTATATTAATCGTGTAAAGCTGCTTTTTGCTTCTCCACCAGATCTTCTACAAATTTTAGGTTATATCTCTTTTCAGTTTATTAGATCTGTTTTATTTGCAGTTAACTATTTGCTAATATTTGTTTTTAAACATGTAAGATGATGTTGAGACTTCACATTATCACTGTTTTTTTTATCTTTTGTGTGTTTATTCATGTTTTGATTTGAATATTTTATCTTCATATATTCCCATTTGAATTTGATTCATAACTTTGTCATATTATATTATTTAAATAATTTTTTAGAGGATGTTGCTCATGTGTTGTTCATGTTGACTAATTTATAAGCAGTAGATATGTACACAAATCAAACTTTATTACTTATTATATTTTGAATGTAAAGTTACTTGTGTAGTATTTTACTTTGTTAATTTTTCAACCAGACGCAACCAAGGTATTAATCTTTGTAAATTTAAATAATATGCTTGATTTAGAAACTTGTATAACCTATTAAAACTTTATATGGTTATTCATAGTCAACACCAATATTTTAGAAATCATGAATGTCTTTGGAACTATATTTCAAACTAATTTTCTTCTTAGATCGTTTTTTGTTATTTTAAATATCTTCAATGGTAATTTTATATTTTATTTTAATTATCTAATTTTCTGCAGGTTTGATATACTTAAAACATATATATATATATATATTTAATTAATCTTTTTTGTTATCGATTTTTCAAATAAGTAGCATATATTAACATATATATATATATTTAATTACTTTTTAAATTAATTAAAATGCTATTTTGACATGCTATAACTGGTTATTCTAAATTTTAAGTGAACTTCTCTCAAAAGCTTATACCATCATTTGCTTTTTTAAGTTAATATTTGTTTGGTAGTTAGCCTAAATATCAAACTAATTTTACTTTATACGACTTTTTTCTTTGATAATTTACCTCTCTTGATATTGATTTTTATTTTATTTTAATACACCATCGTTTTTAAAATATTGATATTTTGAAGATATTAATTTTTTGTTAGTTAAATATTTTTATAGTAATTTTTAAGTAGTTAGTCAGATATCAAGTCAATATATTTTTAAGTGTTTTTTTAAAAAATAATATTTTGTAAAACTTAATTTCTTTTTTAGTTTTTTAGTTAATTAATTTCTTAATATTGATTTTGTTAAATAAATAACATAGATATGAAGTTATTATCCTATTTTTTTGGTAATTTAACTTTCTCGATATGAACTTTCATTTTAATTGTATTGACATGTTGTAAGAAATAATTTATGTTTTGGTTTTTGTTAGTTAAACATTTTTTTATATTGCTTTATTCAGTAATTAGCATAAAGTATCATTTTGGTTTGTTAAGATTTTTGTGTTAATTTTTTAAATATTTCGCCCAAAATTATAAGTTTTAGATGACTTTATTTTTTTATAATTTAAGATGAATGTCTTTTTGGTAGTATTGATATTTTAAATAACAATTTTATTTGTTTATATGAAAATTTAATCTTAATATTTTTTCTAAATAAATTACTCATTTAAAATATATATGCTAAATTTTTTTTTTAATTTAACTTTTTCGTTATTGATTTACTTATTTGTTTTTGTTAGTTTAGTTTTTGTGACAATTAATTTTCATTTTATTTTTACAATAGATTTAGACTTTTGACATAAATTTATTTTATTTTGTTAAAAACAATTATCTTAATTTTCCATTCTATTATGATAATTTTATATTTTTTGTATGTTTTAATTTATTTAAATTATTAATAATATGTTTTTATTTTTTATTTTTTATGTTTAATGAAAAATGCTGATGTAGACTAATCATATTGAGTATATATGTCTTATGTTGATGCTCTCATTGGCCTAAGACATCAACACATACCACAACTAATATATTTTAAGTTAGCAGTTCAGATTTTAATTGTTTGTCGTGATTTAAATTTTAAAATAATTTAATTATGGTTTTAAATACAGTTTTTAATAATTTTGTTTAATATATATGATTTTTCTTTCATAATCTATTTATATGTTAATTTACCTTTTTATTGTTAATAGAAAAATAAGATCTATTTTCAAAACTTTTTTTTATTAATAACTAACTTAAAATTTAGAAACTTTCCTAATAACAACAAAAACAAAACTAATTAAAATTTAGAAATTTTCCTTATAACAATTAAAACGAATTAATTAATTTTAATATTCAAATATATAATT